GTTTCGAGCGCAACTACCCACAAACCTGTTTAACCCTTGTCTGGATATCCCAGGTAGCGTGGCCAGTTCATTCTGGTGCAACAGTGTCATTGACAAAAGGTCAGATTTTGATGCAAATCAGGACTCACCGGTGGAAATCTTGCACGTTGTCCTCCTTGGAGTAGTCAAGTACTGGTGGCGCGACGCTGTTTCACGTCAGAATTCCAAAGGCAAGGAGGAACTCAAAACCCGCCTTTCGAGCATAGATACTGCAGGCCTCGGGACGTCTCGCCTTAGGGGACACACGCTAGTGCAGTATGCTGGCTCCCTCGTAGGCCGGGACTTCCGACTGATCCTTCAAGTTGGACCATCCGTCTTGCATGGATTGATCCTAGAGACCCACTATAAGGGCTGGTTAGCATTATGCCGGCTGGCTCCGCTCTTATTCCAACCGAGCATCGAACACATGGATATCTATGAAGTGAGTAATGCGAGTGCTATATTCTCGTCACTGTCTAATCATGGTCTTAATATTTACAGGAACGAGTGAAACATGCCATTGACGACTTCTTGGCAGCTACAGCCCTGTGGACGACACAATGGTTTAATAAACCAAAGTTTCACCTTTTTGTTCATATCCTGGATCACATCCGACGTTTTGGCCCTGCCACCCTGTTTGCTACAGAGTCGTTTGAGTCGTACAACCTTGTCATTCGCCTGCGGAGTATTCATTCCACAAAATACGCACCAAGCTTGGATATTGCGCATGCATTTGCACACCTCCATGCCGTCCGACATCTTGTCAGTGGCGGATACCTTTTTTTTCTTTTGTTTTTTTAAAATCCATTTAGGGTCCCGAGGGCGATGCCCGTATGTTGGACCTTGCAGTACATTGATAAACGATCCTTGCTGGATGACGCAGAAAATGAGACTTAAACAAAGCGAAGCTACCCCTCGTCTGAGGTACGGAGAACGCGGGTGACCATGGTTTGAAAATAAACAGTGGTGGCGGAGAATGGTGATGATTCAAGCAAGTGAAAAAAGAGGACAGTGATGGAGTCCTCGCCCAGCGCGTTAAAAAACCCCCGCAGGGGAAAAAGCTACTGAGCTCTTCCATCAAAGCCTGTAGGCTCTCGTCGCCCCCAAAGAAGGTGAAACCTGGAGATGGCGTGGTTCCTCCTCTTCGAGCATCCCGAATATAGATGTAGTCTTGAAAGATTAGGATGGGGGTAGTAAGCAATTATTGTTGTGATATGTTAGAGCTTGTCGTATCCGGGTCTGCAAATCGAGTGATCATCGAGGCTCATGTGGTCTTCAAGGTCTCACCGTAGCTATCCGCGAACCGTTTGGTCTGATGGACATAGGTCAGCAGTGGCCTGACATGACGAGTGAGTAGCGCAGAGAGATCGGTCGCCGCACATCGGAGTCTCTTCCTTAAGGCGTGACGTGCTGTCACATATGCCGGACATTGGAAGAGGTAGTGACGAATGTCTTCTGGGAGTCCGGGACAGTTAGGGCAGTCTGGGGATGCGAGCTTGCCGATGCGGTGGAGGTACCGGTTGAGTGGGATGTGTCCGGTACGTAGCTGCATGATGATGGATGTTTGCGGGCGTGTGAGGCCTTCGGCGAGGTCGAGGAACGAGGCCGAGGGTAGCTTGCTATCGATCGCCGCCGTCTTCGCATATCGCGGTGATTTCGTCCATTCGATATGCCAAGTTCGCTTGGTTTGCTCTCGGTAGGCTTGCTTGAGGGCAGAGACACTATGTGGAAGCTTGGTGTTGCGGAGCACCTGCGGTAAGAGTTTGTCAGCACTGACTTTGCCCTCTGCTGCGAGCTTAGCTTCTTTGTCTGCGAGCTCATTGCCAGGGATCTTCTCGTGTCCTGGGGACCAACGGATTGTGAGCTGCACGTTCGGGTGCTTGCGTAAGAGTTGGTTGGCTGCCTGCCGAACAAGCTTGAGGATGTGAAGTCCGGGCTTGCGCTGGTGAGAAGGTAAAGCTTGGATGACGGCTGTGTTGTCGAGGCTTATCTGTATTGGTCCTCTAAGAGAGGGTTCACGCTGAAGGAGGTTGAGGCCCAGTAGCACTCCAATACCTTCACCACCATAGACGATTTGCTTGCGAAGAGAGCCCAATTGATAGCGAAGCGTTTGCGGTGGTCTATCTGGTTTCAGTAATACTGCAGATGCACCTACTTTGCCCTTGTATCCTGATCCATCAGAGTAGACACGTATTGGGTCATTTGCCATGTCAACTTCTTCCTGTAAGGCCTTGTCCTTGCTGGATGCGATATGTGTCACGAACGGGGCCTCCCAGTTGGGTTCGGGGCCAACAGAGTCGATTGTCTCAATGTCGCCCGGGCAAATCTTGAAGTGGTGAAAAAGCTCATGGAGCGCCGACCGGTGGTGCTTGACATACCGCCGGGCGGTGCGTTGGACGATTGGGTGGAGTGGGTGAGTGTCTGGCAGTGTGGCAAGGCGAAGCACAGCCCGATGACAGACAAGGTTCAGGCGGTGGTGAATCGGCCAGAGGTTTGCATGTGCATCTAGGGTGTCAGTAGCTGTACTCCGTAGTGCTCCCGTGATGCACGTGGCAGCAGATCGTTGGATTGTCGCTAATCGTCGAGTGACTGCAATGGAGCCTGAGCTTCGTTTGCGCCCCGGCTTTGCGTGGACCGGCGTATACCAGGCTTCCGCGGCGTACGTTGTCATGGGTAGGCCCACTGATGTGTACAGTTGATGGGCTGCCTTTGGTGGTAGGCCGTAGGTAGTCTTGCTTAGGCGGCGGAGTTGGTATGTCCACTGTGCGAGCTTGTTCACCACATAATCTTCATGGCCCTTCCATCGCAGTTCCTGGTCAAGGATGACACCTAGAAACTTGTGAGTAACGTGAGGTTTGATTATGGTACCGTTAAGTTCCAGGTTTGGTCTGGGGATTGGCTTGGTCTTGCGGGTGGCGGTACAGTTGGTTTCACGTGTACGGGACCTGGAGAAATGAATGAGACCGAATTTGTTTACCTCAAACTTGGAGTGGTGCTTCTTTGCCCATTCGAATCCACCACCGGGACGTTCCATCATAGATTTTAATGTTGCAGTCGTTGCCTTGAAGTTCTTGCCAGTTGCAATGAATGCTGCATCATTAGCAAATGCCACCGCATCCTCGTTCCTGCCTTGTGGGATATCAAGAAGATCAGAGTTATAGAACTGAAAGATAATCATGGACAGAGGATCGCCTTGTCCAATCCCATTGATGATATGGATCCAGAATGATTCATAGTCATCGAACTTGAGCTTGGTGCGGCGATTCTGGAGCATTCGGTCGACAAATCAGACATATTTTTGGGATTCCGCGCATTCGCATGTCGTGGAGTAGGCGTTCGGTGACCACATTTGGGAATGCCCCTTCAATGTCAAGGAAGAGGATAGAGACTACCTTCTTGTTTCACCAGGCATCTTTGATACGTTGAGCAACCAACAGGATGGAGTCAGAAGTCATTCGTCCCGGGCGGCCGCCAAAATGCTTCTTCGGTAAGGCAGTATGTTTTTCACTGATGTACGTGATGTCTTCAGTGATTACCTTTGTCAGCAGCTTACCCACTGTGGCATAGAGAGCGATGGGTCGATAGGATTTAGGTATGCTGTAGTCGGAACGTCCCGGTTTCCGTAGCACGACAGTATACCATTCTAGCCACGGTTCATAGTATGTTTCGAGGTCAAAGACTGCCCTAAAGAGGAAGTAGAAATGGTCAGTGAGGATGTCAATGCACTTCTTCAACACAATGTTCTTGACGCCATCAGGTCCTGGGGCCTTGTGCGGTGAGAGGGCAAGTATAGCCCGGCGAATTCGTGCCCGAGTGATGGGGCGAAATTTGGATACCGGCGGTGGGTAGTTGTCAGTCTCGTCTGGGTTGACTGCGGAGGTTGAGGGAGGTTTGGGAAAGAATGCATTGGCGAGTTGTTCACATCTGTCGTCATTAGTAGAGGCTTCTCCGATCACCCTACCATTTGGATCCTTGATCTTCAGGGTTGGTATACGTGTCCTGCCGCCATCCCCAGTCGGTCCCGATATGAACTTACCAGCAGTCCACACGTCGTTCCCTTCGGCCTCGCCGAGGAACGTGTGCCAGTGGTGGGTCCTCTGGTGCTGGATAGCGTCATGGAATTCCCGTTCAGCAAGGCGTCGTGCGTTGTGGCTCAGGTGGTCCTTCACATGGCGATACTTGTGAGCTTTGTTGCTTGCCTTTCGGAGTGCTTTGCGTTTCGCTGTGAGATCCTTCGTCCACCAGCGCTTCATGTACTTGCTCGGCTTGAGCAGCGGTACGTGATTGCTGATGATGGTTGCTAGCGCTGCGTGCAGTCCTTCGGCGTGGGCGGTAAACTCGTCTTTAGTAGACAGACAAGTCAGTTCGCCGATGGCCGGCAGATGGGTCTTGAGCTCTGCCCGGAATTTCTGCCAGTCCACATTGCGGAAGTTCCGCGTTTCGGGCGGGCTCACGATAGGCACCCCAAGATCTAGAATCGTCAGTATGGGGTAATGATCAGCCCCCAGCGGGGTCTTTGCCCGGTCCACCTTGCACTGAATTACCTGCTCCTGTAAAAGGTGAGATAGAAAGACATTGTCAGGTCGATACTCAGCCTTCGAACTCTTGTGTTCAAGGGTTGCTATCCCAGCCGGGAGGGCCATGTAGAGGTTGAGGTCAGCAGCATGATCGAGAAGGACTTGAGCATGCTTGATGTTCGCGTTTGTGAAGCATTGGGCATTGGCTGGCAGCTCCCATACGGGATGCTTGCGGTTGAAGTCACCGGCCCACATCAGTCCGTGGTCCTCTCCAGTTCGGGCGCATGGTAAGTCACGATCACAGAATTGTCGTAGAGCAGTCAGCGTGTCATCGGTCTTGTCCGAGTTGTAGATGTTGCATATGGTCAGCTGCTCTTCCCGTGACATGGAGTACTGTGACGTCCGGGTGCGGGAAGTCGAGCTGTCGCCAGTTGTTAGTGCTGAGTCGGGTGTTGACGAGAATAACAGATCTAGATGGAGCTGTGTTATTAAGATGGTTAGTAGGATATATTACCCTCCAGCCACTGGTGGCTTTAGTGTTCTTGAACATATCAATATAAGGCTCCTGAATAAGTAGGAGGTCCCAGTCGTGGTGGAGTCGATCACGGTTGAGGAGGTCAAATGTGGCAGTAACAGATTTGTTGAGGTTCTCTTGCCATATGCGTAACCGTCCAACATTTCGGGTGGGGTCGCTAGTCATGACGGATCGTACCATTGAATACGTACCTATCGAGTGTCGACTGTCGGCTATGGCTGCGGGCAGGTAGGCCGCCATTGGCTGGTTGTTGTGAAGAGTCCGGGGTGCTGATGACCGGCGTTTGAGATCGGGTAGGTGCAGGGCGTTGCGAGGAGGGCGAGTGGTCGCGACGTCGTTGTTGCTGCCGTATCAGCGACTCCAGTGGCACCGTCCGGCGGACGGTGGGGTGTGGATCGGAGGCGGGAGGGGTACTCATAGCCTGGGTCCAAGGTTCATCAGTAACAAAATATGGGAGCGCATTCTCCGGGCGCCGGGTGTCAAGTCGTTCGCATTCCCGTCGGAATACCGGGCAGTCACGATTCCAGCTAGCGTGGTTAGTAGAGTGGCAGTTAGTACAGTATACTGCTCGGGAGGTGCATTCAACTGTGCGATGATTCTTCCCACACGTCCCGCAGGTGTCATCTCGGGATTGGCAATCCCGCGCGATGTGGCCATAGGTCTGGCATTTGGCGCATCGTATGGGTTCGGCGGCTTCTCTGCGGGCGTGGAGACGCTTTTGGCAAATGACAACACCTTTCGTGATTGCAGTGTTGGCCGTCTGCGGTTTTCGGAAGTACAGGATGGCATGCGCAACACGTTGATTGGGGTTGCGGCGGTGGATGGGCCGTATCCATCGGGCGCGTACGATGGATTCCGGCTAGTACTCGTTGACTTCTTCAATTTCTCGTAGGTCTTCGGAGCGGTCAGGGTCAAACTGGATTGGCACGAATTCGGTGAGGACAGCGCATGGTTGTCGATCCTTCACCACCGCTGTCGGGTGGTACTGCTCCTCGAAGGTGTCCGAGTTCTGTCGTAAGAAATCAGCTCCTTCCCGTGTACGCACCTCATATAGGATACCGCCCGTAGATAGCTTTGAGGCGGCCGTGATATCACACAGCCCTTGCTTGTCAGGCCAGAATTCGCGGATGATGTTGTTTGCCTTATCGAATAAGACCTTGTCAGCGAGCTTAAGGATGTCAGTTCGTGCCACTGGGTCAGCGATATCGATAAGGATCTGTCGTGCTCGTATCTTGGCTTGTGCCGTGGCCCGCGCTATCACTGGTGTTACCGTTGGTGTGACGTAGTTGGTTCCAGGTCGCAGGAGTGCATTACGGTAGGTAGCCGTTCCTGCAGAATCAGTAGAAGCAACTGTTTGTGATGTTACCTTTGTTACGAGCGCATCGATCTTCGTGAGTGTCGCTTGCTCCAGGCTCTCGATCCGTTGTTCTACAGCAGTGCATAAGTAGTCGGTCACTCCTGATACTTCCTCGTCTCGTAGGAGAAAGGCTACTGCTTGCACGGATTCCTTCCAGGTTTTTCCCGCAGTCTCTTTTGTGGTGGCCATTAAGGCATCCGCTAACTTTCCGAGGGTGATTCTTTCTGTCTCTAGGATATAATTCTTCTTGATAAGATATGTCTTTGCGGACGCGGTGTCGCGGACGGCGCCAGTTAAGAATCCCGCCCACAGCTCGGAAGCACTTCGGAGACCGACCCGGTTTCCCGGGGTCCTCGCCGTGAGGTTGCTGGCAGGGCCCGACTTCTCGTTCGTCGCGCCCGACATACCGATGTTATTAAGATTATGTAGCTTAGTCCGAAGTACCAGGTGAGACCGGGAGGAGTCAGTAGAGAGGAGAGAAAAGCCAGAAAGTCGCCCTGAGAGAGAAATTGTAGAGAAAACTACTCTAATGACCGCCGCGCTGGAGGACCCCGGAAGGGTGCCAACTGGTGCAGAGTCAAGAAGAGTCGCTGGCGGATACCTTATTTGCAGTGTGGCTGGAGAGCCATGGGAACATCCGCGCCAGGCGGGTGCAGGTGTCCGAGCCTTGATGAATGA